GTTGAAGTATAGATGTTAGCCCGCAGGCGAGGGGAACGTGGGAGCTCCGAAGCGAGAGTCGGTATCCTCCCAACCTAACAGCCTAGCCGTAGACTCAGTAAACAAGCGTACGATTAGTCAATGTTCTTTACACCTGGATCAAAGGGTAAAGAATAGGTATGCTCCTATTTGACACAATATAATTTGAACTAATTCACTTTATCCATTCACTATAATTTTTTGACAAGGAGAATGATGATTTCTTATATATTGAATATCACATTTAAACTCTCATTAGTATTATTAGTTATTAATTAGTTATTAAAATTATATATTTATTTCAATTGCCTATTAGTGACAGATAAGCAAATTGAACTTCGTTGTTGCGATTAAAGTATTGCTTTTCTAAAATCTTAGTTTGCAGTTCTAAACCACTCCCTGTGGGAACGATATCTAGGATTCCATTAGAGCCCTATATTACTTGAGCGATACGTATACATATTTATCTTATATTTTTAAGCATATATAAAGTCGTCGGTCACTGAGCTTCAATTGGTTAGTTTAAAAAGATAGGTGGTCGCTTATGTGGAGCTCTAGCAAGGGAGAAAGTCCAATGGGGAAGAGCCAAATAGAATGGGTGAAATTTTGAGTATTCCCCCCATAGGTGGCTCTTGAGTATGGGCTTACTGTCGGCAATGATGGGATGGTGGAGCTTGGGTGGTCCCATCACTAGTCTTCTAAGATAGTCAATAGAAAGTCATATTGACTATCCTAAGCTCTAAGAGAAGAATTTAGACCACACCAAAATGAGGTCAATAAATGGACCTCAATAGTGTGGTGTGCTAAAACATCACAACACACATATTGGTGTTGACTGAAACAATCAACAAAACTCGAAGAATTGTCTAAACATACATACTTAGAACAGATTACGGATCAAACTGAAGTTAGCATTGAATTTGTGTTGAGGATTTTGATAATTTCTGCTGGAGAATTGAATGATTAGATTGATTTTTTATTTATTATTTTTATGTTTAGGGTGATTTAGATTTGAATGAATGAGAAGATCAGGCTGAGAAGGAAAGCACATGGACTCACTTCCAACTGAAGGCTGATCAAGGGTATTATTGCTACGTTGGGGAGAACAACACAGGGACTTGCATCCAACTCAAGTGGTGATGAGGGAATTAGATGTCGTGATCCATTTAAGGGAGCCTCACACCTATCCCTATTGCTGAGTGTTGAGAAAGGAGTCGGATGTCGTGATCCATTTAAATCACATGAGCAATGGTGTCTAGGATTTAACTATTCAAAGGACCCATGCTTATTGTAGAAGTTTTCCTTTTAACCTTAAAAACCCCAAGAATAAGATTTATTGGGTGAAAGAATGATGACTGAGAGGTGAGGGTCGGTCAAGTAGGTTATGCCATCCTGTAGACAAGGGCACTATACTAGGATTATGAAATTAAACTTGATCAAAAGGTTATCTCCAAAGCATTGAAACACTTGAAAGTAGTGACAACATATCATTATATTTTCTTTGGATTTTTTGTAAAATTTTCAAGAAGATTAGGGTTGAAAATGATAGCAAAATCAAGATTGGTATCTATGACCTAGTTTAACTAATTTTTAGTTTAGTTTTATATCTTTTGATTTTCTTATGAAAGATAGTTGGAAACACATAGAAGTAGTGCATAAATTCTTGTAGATGTGATTTAAAGTTTAAGAGACTTTTCTAAGAAACTTAAGGTAATGAATTGAAAGCAAATGCAAAGCTAGGTCCAAATGAACCTAATTTGGACAAGTTGATTTATAAAGATGTTTATTTGAAAAGTTTTAAAACACATGATTAAATGTCCTTATTTAAGTTTAGAGGGAATGTATGGTATTAGAAAAAAAAATTGATTTCAGAAATTAGAAGAACATAAATACATAAATTTAACCCAAACTAATAGAAACAAAAATATCTTGACTATCAAGCCAAGAGAAAGAAGAGCCCAACAATCAATCTTCTATATTAATCCCAATTTTGTATTGGTTGCTCATCATGGCAATTACAACATATTTAAATGCATTCCCACAAGTTTTTCTCTTTAATGTAGTTATAGGTTTGGAAAAGACAATTGATTCATGTGTGAATGATAGTAATGGTTGGCCCTTTAATTTTAAAGTAGTGGTTGATTTACATTTATTGACATGGAATTGCCCTTTGGCATTCTTCTTGCCCGAAGTAAGTATTACAAACCTCACTTTAACAATTCTCATAATTTAGAGTCAAAGGTTATTTGGCCATTCTCAATATTGACAATGTATAAGACCTCCAAAATATTCTATTTATATAATGTGATATAATGCTGAACTTATGGCATTTGAAAGTGTCATACCCTTGAACCTCCTACATTATTTATAATAACAATCATATTCAAATGATACAACGAAATAGCACATGATTACAAAGTATAAATTGCCTTCATATAAAATACATAAACTTGAAAAACAACATGAGATGCATACAATTTTGATCAATAACACATGATAAATTCTTTGCAATAGATTTTATAATGGACCTACAATGCACCATATCCATGAGGTAGCTAAATGGTGCTTTCTCTCTCAACCATGATGATGGCGAGAGACGACAAACTGTTGCTCCAATGTAGAGAGAGATTCTCGAAGGGCTTGCATGTTATGATTTCCATCTATGTTACAAAAACTATTCTACCATTGCCAGCCAAAGCTCGAGTACTCTGGCTTTGATACCAACTTAGCTAAAGTAAGAAGTCAAATGCACTGCAAGGCCATAGAGATTGGGAGAATTACCATTTCTCAATGGTGCAGCATGAAAAAGAGATTTTAAATAGTCCCTAGGAGAAAAAAGCAACAACAGTGACTTACCTTCTGTTCTGTTAGAAGTTTTGTAATAAACTCCCTAACAAAGGATAACTAGAAAATCTTTTTGTAAATGACTCATGCGAGTAATTTTCATTTACCAGTTTTTGTAAAAAGATAATTTTTGGAGCAAGACATGTAGGTGAAGTGTATGTGGCAAACATGTATATTGCTTGTAGCATACAAATCAGACCACCATCATCATCCTAATCCCAACTCATTCATTTATTCCTACAAATAATATTTGAGGTATTAAGTGTACACTTCATAAATCTTTTTTCACAACATACATGTTTTAGATGTACTCAATTTTCTTATTACCAGTTTCACACTAATTTGAACAAATAGATTGCATAAAACTGGATTGCCCGCCTGTGAAGCAATCACTCATTTGTTTTACAAGCCCACAAACAGATTTCAAACGAGATTTTCAAAGAAAAAAATAAGTTGTTTCATTACTGTTTTTCTTCATATCCAGTTAATTTCTTAAAATGCTTTAATATTAGTGAAAATAGAACAATAGAATGCAATACAAAAAGTGCTTGACAATGTAATATCACCAATTTATTATTGTTCTTCATATTAGGCAAATCAACAAAGCTTTAAAGCATATTTACAACCCACAGCTTGTATCTCTTTATATATACATAAATAAGGCATGGTCCAATCAGATCACTATCACAAAGGGATTTACAAAGCCTGATATAAGGTTCCATGTTTCCAGAAACCTGAATTATCTTCCTCAGTCCTTCTAAAACGGCTGCCCTGTCTATATATTCAGGACATAAACCTAAATCGAGCATTTTCACAAGGGTTTCTGAAGCATCCAAGTAATACCCACCTTTGAGATAACCTCTTAATAACCATGATAAAGACTTCTTCCTACGTTCTGCATTTCTACCCTCGATACCAGTAAGCAAACGGTGGACAGCACTGACTTCATTTTGTGATGCGCATATGGCCAAAACAGCATCATAAAGATCTCTATCTGGTTCTTTGCCTAAGAGCTTCATTTGCCATATTTGCTGTTCAGCTTCCAGTCCAAAGCCAGCACAAGCATACATTGCAAGAAGCCTCTCATATACAGCAGAAGAAATTCTTGTATTTCCTGCTTCATTTGCCCACTCTGACAAGTTAACAGCATATCTTATGAGCTCTGCCTGATAATTATTTATATAACTGATACTTTCACTATCAAGCTTATCAATTTTACCAGCCTTTAATGCACCCTTCAACTTGCCTAAAGCTTTGGACAACTCTTTCTGCTCTTTTACTAAAGATGTAAGTGCAATAAGGTAACTATAAACCTCAGGTGTCAGCCCAGTCTCTTTGAATTCAATGACCATTTTCACTGCACCAATGTAGTTTCCATCCACCTAAAGATAAATTTACAAAAACAAAGTTTGTTACAAAAGTAACCAAACCATGCATAGTACTTTTAGTACTTTTGACCATTAAAAAAATTTTTTTTTTTTTTAAAAGAGCAAAATTAATTAATTAAATTAAAAATTTCTTATCTACTCCCGCTGAGTACGCCCACTGATTGTTCCCGCTGAGTACGCCCACTAATTGTTCCCGCTGTTTCTTCCCTCTTACAAAATAATTTGAAGCACTCCTTCAGAGAGGAGGGGACTGAAAACTGAAATGCTTGCCCCAACTTGACGCAGTTAGGGCTAGTCAGAGAAGCCACCTCGGTATCGCTGTGGATGAAGATGCCGAGAACTCCTTCCTCGATAGAACTGGGGCTAGCCGTGAAGACAATGACGAGATTGCTCCGTACAAAGACCTTCAAAACTCCTCATTTCTCAGCTCTATGCGCCGAAACAAGAAACAAAGCCTGTCTTCCCTCCCTTTAAGTGATACCTAGTCATGATTAAAGCTTAGCCAGAAAGCAACGACGGGATTGTGACACCAATGACCTTGTCGGCAGTTAAAAAGAATAGTTTGTGAGTGGTCGCCCGTAAGAAGCTGTCGGTCGCTGGAATTGTAGTCCCGTAAGAAGCTTTCGGTCGAAGGAATAGTTTTGCTGGGGAAGACGTGTTATGCTGTTGAAGATGGTCGTGCTGCCCACTGCGCTAGCTTCAAGCTCCCTGACATGACGAGTTTAAGTTTTCTAGGGTGTCCAGTTATAGTGTTGAATCAAACGGCCATATGGTTATGTCCTCTAAACATCCTATGCAAAAAAGAAACATGCTTGAAGTTATATAATATAAAGTGTGCAACGCAGAAACAAACAATAGAATCTCGTGGAACAGTAGTAGGCAAAAACAGGAGCAGTATAACATGCTATACAATACGGTAGTAGGTGAAAACAGGAACAGTATAACATGCTATACAGGAAGAACAGCAGCAGGTAGAAACAGGAAAAATGTAACATGCTTTACAGGAAGAGCAATAGCAGGTAGAAAACAGGACAAGTGTAACATGCTTTATAGGAAGAGCAGTAGCAGGTAGAAACAGAAAAATAAAGTATTGAAAAATATAAAGCAAACTTGTACGCCCGTAAGATCCGATGTTCCTTAAGTATAGCAAACCTAAATGCATCTCAACAAGCAAAGTCCGGAAGAAACGTCGTCCAGGAAACCCGAGGAAAAGCGGAAACCTCGAGAAAATCAACGAAAAAGACTCAAGTAAAAGAAAATCCTCAAAACTTCTGGGAAAATCCCGAAAGAAAGGAAAAGTAACACGAGTGCCCTGTCCCAAAATTTCGATAAAACAAAAGAAGATTCGGATGAGAGGGACTGCAAGCACTCGTATGAGAGTAGGCTCAGCTATATTTATTCTCGAGGGTCCACAAAGGCTACTCGGTCACCCGAATAGTTAAAGACCCCGCCACTCGTCTAGAAGGGTATCTTGAACCTCACTTAGAGGGCTATTTCTTAGCATAAACAGGTATTCGTCAGGTGGACAACCAACTTTAAAACGTATTTTAAAATTTATGCTTTTTTTATGTTTTTGACATACACACAAATTTTAAACATGCAAAGAAGAGTTATCAATTTTGTTTCGTAGAAAAGTATATTTTCGTTTGAAAATGAAAACTTATCTTTTCTTTTATTTTGGTTGTCCACGAGTCGATTACACTACCGGGCATAGGACTGCCAACAACCTGAGAAGGTTCGAGCCGACTACCGCTAGACTTATGTCGGTGAAGGATATCATATCCTATTGTTCATCAAATGCGTGGATCTTGATGTTATAGGATATGACATCTCTCTCCTCTATCTTCGGTGTGCCTTTATCATCAACACCGTACGCCTCATAACGACTATTTGCGACCTTGCTTGATGCTTTCACGTATAACAAAAGGCTATACGTGGACACTTATGCATCGGACATAAACATCGAAAATCGAACCAAGAAGCAAGGAAATAAAAGAACAAAAATGGGGTGAGAGAGAGGAGACTTTGATCCATCTAAAATAACAAAAAGGAGACTGGATCAATTCTCAAAACTCATATCGAAAAGACCTGGAAAAGTAGGGTCCAAGGTCTTTCCTAATAAACATAAAATATTCTTTTGCGCTGATTCTCCAAACCCCGATAACGCATGATTAATCAAATCAATCAAATACTCTCCCAGATAAAGCTTGCAAATCCTCCCCAAATCCCAAAGTTGATATCAAAATTTTCTGACTTACAACTTCTGAATTAATCCACAACCTTACATATCAAATAAGCATAGAAATCTTCTCATAAAATCACATAAATGCTCACGATCGGGCTCACTACAAAGAGATGAACAGCAAGTAGGACTCACGGCCAAGGCAAACCCGAGGCACAGAAGGGGAGGAAACTCACGGCTGAGGGAAACCCAATGAACCACAGACAGGAGGGGCTCACAGCTAAGGGAAGGAATGGCTACCAAACTCCATTAACAAAGGCTGTCTAAAAGACAACAAGTAAAGCTTACGGTTAAGATAACAAAGGACCCATGAAAGAACTGCTAAAGCTCACGGCTTAAGGCAGCAAAGAGCAGCTGCTAAAACCCACATCCAAAGCACAAGGGAGGCTCACGGCCAAAGCCAACAAAAGGACCACCAAAGACAATTATGCTTCCCTGACAAACTGAAAGGATAACTAAAATAATTATGATTTTTTTTGGATGGCAAACTTAATTCATCCACAACTCTCAAGCCAATTCAAGCCTAGCAGAGAAAGCCAAATCACACCCAAAGACCTGCAATAGACCTCATGGGTAAGGGGTAAGAACAAAAACCAGCAAAGCCACCTCCCCTATAATCATTCAAATGATTCAAACTCAACAAGAGGGGATAAACTAAACTCAAGAAATTTAAATGGGTCTCACGGGTAGGAGTAGGAACCAAAGCCA